AGTATTACTACTTCTATTTGTTCTTTTTTTTTTTTTTTTTTTTTTTGGTAACCTCTGTCATTGATTTATTTTATTGCTTTGGTATCATTCCCATTTTGTCTTTGCTCAGTTTCAAAATCACTTGATCTGTTTGGACTGGAGCTTTTGCTTCTCATTCCACCTGGCAGGAGAGTTTGCAGTGGCAGTAGTCTACCTCCTTTAATCTTCATGCATGCACACATCCCCTTTGTGGAAGTGAAATCAGCTTGCCTTTTATGTTCAGAATTTGAGCGGTTTAGGGTGTTTCTGGAGACATAAAAAATGTTCATTGAGATATTTCTAGATTTGAAAGGAATTGTCAGTTATGGGCAAAGAACACACACACACACACACACACACACAAGTCTTCTCCTCACACCCAAGCACCTGATTTTTGTATCTACCTGGAACTGACTTTTGGCTAAACCTCATCTCTCTGCACTTCCTCACACATTCCGGATCTCCTCAGGGACTTCCCCCCCCCCCAAAATAACAGGTTCATTAGAACATAAGAACTGCCAGACTGAATCAGACCTGAGGTACACCAGGGTCTCGTATGCTATGTCTGAGGAAGGTGCATGAAGCATTTTAACATAAATGAAATTTTGGCAAAATAGGTTGTTTTGTCAGAGCTGAAATATTTTGTGGAAACGCATTAGTTTCCCCTGAACTTTTGTCAGGAAGGGTTTTTTTGTTTTTTTTTTGGGGGGGGGGGGGGCACAGAGCAGACAGAGAGAAAGAAATACTGGAGCTGGGTGGTTGGGGTGCTGGCCTTGGATTAGTGAGACCCAGGTTCAAAAGTCAGATCCCTGCTCTGCCACATTTAGAATGATCTGGGGTGAAAGGCACTGGAGTCTGGGGAGAGTAAAAAACATCTGAAGGAAGGACTCTAAATAGCTGTCCCATGAGACCGTGAATTCATCCAGGAATTGGCTGGAGTGTTGTCATGTGACTCAGAAATCTCAACCTCCCTGTGACCCCAACCTCATGTTGGTGCCCTTACGTCCCAAGCTACTCAGATACTACAGCGGTGGGCACCAGTACAATACCCTATTGGAGTAAGAGACAGACTGTTTGCAGAGTTGTCGTCATGTTGGACACAGGATGTTAGAGAGAAAATGGGGGGGTGAGGTGACATCTTTTACTGGACCAACTTCTGCTGGTGAAGAAGCAGACCTCTGTAGCTCAAAAGTTTGTCTTTCACCAACAGGAGTTGGTCCAATAAAACATTATTTGACTTATCTTGTCAGACAGAATATCTGGCAGCCAAATGTTTCCTAAATGATATTTGCTTGCCAGACATGGCTGGTGCTCATGATGGTTGGCAAATACAATATTCAGTTTATCCATCCCTAACTCCACTTCAGCCTCTTACCTCCCCAACCCCATGAGATAGGACAGGTCTCCTACTTTGAACCCACTGGTGGCTGGAAATATTTCTTGTGATGCTGGCAAACCATGTGCCAGTTCAGGTCAGAACCCCAGGCCAATACACTTGAGTGTTAGTATAGATCAGTGTTACATGTATTCAGATGTTTAAATTTCATGAAAACGAGTGGAATGTTACTTGTATGGTTTTCACTTCTCTGTTCCTGTCATGATGTAATAGCAAACATTTACATGGTAAATAGCCCTTTAACTAAATAACTCAGACATCCAAGAAGCCTTGGGGAATGCTAATTAAGGACATTAACAGAGAAGGCTAAACCAAAGCAAATGGCCATTGTGGTGATGACCTGAGGTAAGAGACTCAAAGTGGATCCCTCACTCATCATCAAAGGAAAAGTCCATGTGGGTGGAGACACTGTCAGCTTGTGTTCTGTCAGAAGAAGCTATAAGTATGGATTCAAGGAAAAATTCTTGGTCTCTGGATTGTTTGGATTCAAACAGGGCAGAATAACTGAATGAGATGAGAAAACCGATATCTCCAGAGTTATTCTGGGTAGTCCCAAGTGACTTTTGGGAAACTGACAAATTTACTACATCACTGCTACCATTTGGAATTACAAACTGTGACTCACCTGTTATTATATTTTACCTTCTTTAACCTTTCAGTAATGCTCATTTCCTTTTCTTAGCTAATAAACCTTTAGTTAGTTTGCTATAGAATTGGCTGCCAGCATTGTCTTTGGTGAAAGACCCAGAGTATCAGTTGAACAGGGGTAAGTGACCGGTCTCTTGGGACTGGGAGCAACCGGCTGTGGTGTGATTTTTGGTTTAAGTGACCTTTTATCACAAAGTCTAGTATGTCTGGGTGGCAAGATAGACTGGAGAGCCCAAGGGGACTGTCTGTGACTCCATGGTGAGACTGTTACTGTGATCCAGGAGTTCACCTTTGCTACTGGCTTGGTGAAATCTAATTACAGAACACACCACCAGCTGGAGGTGTGTGTCCTGCTTTCTGACAGTCTGCCCTGAGCTAGGCACTCACAGTTGTGAGCCACTCCAGACAGCGTAATACCTCCCCACTCACAGTTGTGTGCAGTGAGAAAACACTTCCTCCCTTTCCTACATCCAAGCATGTTCTCTTTGAAACAACATCCAGGGCCAAAAGGATGGAAGAGTGACTGGAATACACGATTGTGGTGTCGGACCAACTAGCATAAGAGATTGTTATATTTACCCCAGCAAGACCCTTCCATCTCTTACCCTTTCCCTATTTCTAGGGCCCTTCCAATGTCTCACCTCCCCATCACTAGGATGTGTCCTGTGTCACACACCTCCCCCACCCACCTTCCATTGCTAAGAGCCTTCTACTTTCCCATTCGTCTCCTTTTCTTTGCCCCCCCGGTCCCGATACGTCTTCCTTAGCTAGACCAGGTATGGAAGTGTAAGTATCAAGTTAGCTTCTATTCTCACTCTTGGGGGCTGGATTCTAAACTGTTTATTGTGGAATAAAAAGAAGATTACAAGCCATTGCCCAAGGATAACATGCTAATAATTTTTCAGCAGGGCACACAGTTGGCACAGACTACAAATGTTATTAAGCAGGAGACCTGGTATGCACTGACACTGAAGGGAAGTTACCCCTAAGGAGATAAAACTTCTATCACTGCCATCAGAAAGTCAGAATAACAGCAGCAACCTATTAAAAATTACTGCAGGGATAGGTGTGATATTTTTATCACTTTCAGAGTGCCACTGGCAAATACACTCTTCTGAACGTCTTTAGAAGTTAGCACTATAAAGAAGTGCTAAAGACCGTAGTGTTTGGACTTCCTCAGGGATACATTCAGAACACAACATCTGAGGGACCGGAGAGTTTTAAAAATGAGAAAAGCCATCCGGGTGCAATGTTTTGGGGTTCAGTCAATGTCTGCCTTGTAACCCTGTGCAGCTTTGGTTCAGAGCTCTGACCCCCAACTGCCTGTCAGCGGCCCACAAGTCTCACTCTGGCTATGCCCAATGGGACCAAGCTTGGTACCCTTCCAGCCCTGAATTTGCCCCCAAATCATCCTCTTGCATGGTCCAGTCCCTCTCACTGAGCCTCACAGTCAGAGTATTATGTTCTCTGCCTCAGAGACAATACACCACTCCAGCTTGCCAGCTGACTGGACGCATACACATTACTGAACCCATCCAGCCCTGATGGTTTATAATGAAAGTAAAACAAGTTGATTAACAAAAGAGCCTGGATTAAGTGATACCAAGTAAAAGAAATAAAGGTAGAGTTCATTACAAGCAAATCAAAGTGAAAGCATTCATTGAAAAGTCAAACTTAATCAAGCAAGATACAATCTTTGTTCAAGATGGTTTCTCTCACCCAGTCTTCTTTCCAGCTTGTTAGTGGCTGGCCTGGCCAAAACCCATCACAGATCACATTGCTTGGTTTCTTTGTCTCCTTAAAGTGAAGGAAACTTAGGGGCTCGCTCACCCTCACTTTATAGTTCAGCAGACATTTGCTATGGATTCTTCTGAAAAGTACCCCACAGCTGGGGCTATGCCCCAATCAAGCCACAGCTGGCCCTATAAAAGGGCTGTGAGCCAGGCGCTCAGAAACTTTCTCTTGCTAGCTTTTTGAGAGAGAAGGGCCTGGCTGCCTTGGAGCTGAGATGGGTACCTAGGGTAAAGCAGTGCTGGGGAAGGGCAGAGGGAGCTGGGGAGCTCCAGCCTAGGAAAACCCCAGGCTGCAGGCCTAGTTAAAGGCCTAAAAATTGGTACTGGGGCTGCAAAGGGGCAACTCAGAGATAGGCAAAGGCAGCAGGTCCTAACCCCCTTGCCATGATGAGTGGTTTATAGACTGCAGTCTGCCCCAGGGAGCCGGGGCTAGATGATGACTGGCAGTAGCCACTGAGGCAAGGTGAGGATAGAGGGTTGGGGGTTCCCCTAGGAGGGGAGACCCAGAGACAGTGGGTTGCTACTGGGGGGCAGAAACCTGAAGTAGAGGGGCACCAGGGCCGAGTGGGGAGATGGGGGGCCAGGGGGAGATGAGACATCAGCTGGCAGAGGCTGCTCTGGAGCTGGGAAAGAGCTAATTCCCTGGACAACCAGCAGGAGGTGCTGTGCTGGTGAGTCGTTGCCTCACCACACCCAGATAAAGTTCATTAGTTCATGCTGAGCAAGGGAATCACAGGTACATCTACACTCGAATAAGAGACCTGTGGCACAGCTGCTGCTGGCCCAAGTCAGTTGATTTGGACTTGTGGGGTTCAGGTTGCAGGTTTAAAAATTGCTGTGTAAACATTCAGGCTCGGGTTGGCGCCTGGGCTCTGGTCCCCCAGCTTGGGCTCCAGCCCGAGCCCAGACATCTACACAGCAATATTGCAGTTCCACAGCCCAAGTCAGCTGACATGG